TGACACACTTTCACCATTGTTATGGTGTAATGGAATGCATACTGTACAGTCCAGATGACTGCGGAAAAAAAAATCTAAACACACACTGCGAAAGCACACAACAGTGGAACACAAAAATTCAGACGTGTATTTATCAGCTGAGAGCCTTTTATTGGGAAAAAACTGGCCAAATAGGATGAGTACATGGTCATGGATCGGCCGTAAGAGCATGAAAGTGTGTTTTGTGTAAATGTAGTAAGAATTGAGGCAGTGAAATTGATTGTGGAAGCGAAGCGGAAAACAGAATGACACTCATCTCGTCAGAGAGTGATTGCGAGGAAGGATGGAAGTCGGCGTGATTTCCAAGAGGTATACAGACAAAAAGTCCCGACTCCGAAATGGCAAAAATGGATGTGGGAAAATGGGACAAGTGCTGGGGGAAAAAAAATGCGTAAAACGTGCCTCAATGCTGCTATGAGATTTATTTAATTGAATTTCGACTCCTTCAAGAGTTTAGAAAGGCCACTACACTCATGAATTGCTCAATTGCCGGAGTGAAATTTGAATAAAATTCCCCAGCAAAGAGACACAGCGTCTGACGCCACTTTAATTAATTATACTCACATAATATTTGTATGCTGTTAGCATCACAAAGAGTGTTTTCCAGCTTCAAGAGACTAAGTGTGGGTGAGAGTGTTTATGTGGAAATTGAGGGACTATGCGGACAATAGTGTGCAGAGATCCTGGCATGGGGCATTCCGGGTAAAGTGGTCAGGAACCGAGTCAGGAGCACATTCATGCAAATCAACAAATGAGAGAAAATACTCTCTTGGAAAAGCATTCGCATTCCAATTTCTAAAATGGATAAACCCCATAAATTAAAGCCACTGACACCCGAAGACATTTGTTGTGGAAAAACTATAATACTTCTTCTGCTGAATGGCTCTTGTCAGCGATTATTTGCATTTCATTATTAATTTCATCACCTCACTTAAATGTCTTTATGCTTCCATTATATCTTAAAGCAATTACATACTATTTTGTGTGTAAGCGTGGTTAAGTACATTACATTATTTATGCTTTAACTTGATGTAATCACCTCAAGATTTTGCATATGCATGATGAATATGAAGTCTTGTCACATTTCTTATCTGACATCAACGTGTACATGTGAGATAAAACAGACTTCAGTCACTGAATTATAATAAATTTTCATCCTCACTTTTAAGCATCACATATTGATGATTCTTTCTTTTAAGCATTTACACATTATATACAAAATTTGAAGATAGAAAAAGATGTGTATTTTATCACCTGAAGACGTCGGAGAATATTCAAACTTTTCTCGGTGAAAAGTGGCGCGCTGCTTCAGCAGACACTTCTGTCGGTCACCATTAGGAGCTGCAGAAATTGACTTTGGCCTTATTGTATGGCACTTCGCTCTCAACAATCCATTTCTTCAGCCTCGACACAGCATTCGGCAAAGTGTGGCTGAAAAAAGTCTTATTACGTTCTACAAATGAACTGATTCACTCGTTGTCGGGACTTTTGCCATGCTTCAAGTGCCTGCTGAGGACACTTCTTTGTCATACTTCCTTGTCTGGCAACAATAAACGTATCGCACATTACTGGGAAAATCTGCAACACTTGTCACAGCAACATAATTTATGCACAGCTCCAATTTCAATGGAACCCACATTCCTGCCAACACATAATGGCTGATGTGGAGTGGAGTGACATATTTTTCAAAGTCGAAGCACCATCAGTGATTAGGTTTGGAGGACATGCTGAAGTGCACGAGGATCATTAATTTGATTTTCTCAATAACCCAATCCACTCAAGCCAACATGCACATTCACGAGCGAAGAAAAGCCACCACTCGATGCACGATAATGATGAATTCTTTGGCGAAAAGCTCACCCAGTGCATTCCGAATTGAATCACAAAAGCCGTAACCGCACTCGAGAGATCGACAGACAACCCTATTTATCTGATTCATTGATTTTCAGATAGTATACCATTCGGGATTTATTGCTGCGTTTATTGAAAAGACATAAATCTCGATGCTCTCTCAAGGACTCATCCAAGTCATGAGTTTTCTTATTAATTACCCACGTCACTGCGGGGTCAGTTCGAGAGATGAAGTCTTTTTGCGGATATGATGGAAAATCATAGGATGAATTTCCTATAATAGAATGAAAGTTTCGAGACTAATCTGTCATTGACAGACGTTAAAATTATGTGCATTCTTGGAATTATTTGAAGCATATTTAAATTGTTTGTTGTTGAAATATGTTGGTGCAAATTTGAAATATTTCCCAACATGTTCCAGTAAAACTCAAGGTAGAAGTGTAAAGTTTTCCGAAGCAACTCACCGTGAAAAATTCTTCACCACATCCACTGCATTTTCCGGTGTCAGAAGAGAAGGTGAAATGTGGAGAAATCAGGGAGATGCTCACCATCCCTTGAATGAGACTGGAGGGATATTATTGTGTCGATTCATAAATGCCACCGTGGAATTGCATAAAGCAGCATATGACAAAAGTTTACCTTTGCACAGCAACTTTCACAATTTCTGACCGCAATAAATAATTTTTCCGTATCCGTTCCAATAACCCAGATCGTGTGCAGCCCGGGGAGGCTGGTGAACGTCCCGCAGGGGGTGGAATTTACACAAAGTCACCGCCACACGTCCAGCGGACGTGAACACCATTGCAATCCTTCTGGGGCGGCGACTCACGAGCAATAATGGCACCGTTGCTTGTCATTAGAATGACTCGGTGAGTTCGTGGCGGGAAAAAGGGGTGAGCAATGAGCAACAAACCCTCGATAGCGTGCTCGTGGAGTGAGAAAACCCTGATATTGATGGAACATATCTGAAGAAAATGTCCCCGTGCAGAGATTGGAGACTTACACCCCTCTTCTTGCCATGAAATGAGTTCTGGTATGTGTGGTTGACACACTTCCGCTGCCACTCCTCCGGCGCCCCCGTCTCGCCATTGTCTTGGGAAGCATCACAAGGATGAGTGGCTGAGCGGGAAAACAGCACCGCAACAATCGCATCAAGCACAGCGCTGCCCTCCAGTAGAAATGGATTATGAGAATGTTTCGGGGGTAATGCCAGCCAGAACAAAATGCCATTAAATGCTTCCCGACTGGAAGATTAACCCCCAGTATTCCAATCCCAAATACTTCTTATGTTTTTCAGCTCTCTTTTAAAGCATCTGCAGCTAGATTTCGCTTCTGACTTTAAATTTGAAGACATTTTGCTGTTAATCCCTCTTCATGTAATGAAATAAATCCCGAAATTTCCAGAAATTCATTTCAAACGATATATTTTTAAAGAAGAATTCGTAAAAATAGCGCCACAACTTTCAACAAATGACTTTTTCTGGATTTTGACAAAAACTCTTCTTGGAATAGTCGATATAATACGAAAAGTTGATTGAAGGCTTATTTTCAGTATCATACAGTGAGTGAAAATTAATTATAGAATTTAATTAAAATCAAAAATTCATTTCTGATTTTAACGAAATTTATTATAACAATAACATCTGCAGAATATGTAAATGTTACTCATGAGGTATTGGAAAATGTCATGGTGAAGAATGATCTCAATTTCAACAGGAATATAAAAGATATATGCGACGATCCATTTTCTGTTTCCCGTTCTCGCAGAGACAATCGATTGGGAAATTTTTCAGTATTGTCTTTCTTCACCACTACTACTGTAAAAAGTGGCTTTGGTGAATAATTAATTTTCCATGTATTTACATATATCGATTGGCTTGTCTATAGATTTCATCCACATCAAGATTCCCAGGCATATAAATTTGTGAAGGCATTTGACTTTGCCTGATCACGACAGGGTTGACGGCAGACCAAGAAATTAATAATAAATTGACTTCAAATAGAGGAAAACTAGGGCACCCTTTCTTCTGCCATTCACACCGTCTTCATGTCTTGAAGTGTCACCTTCGAGAGACTGTAAAGTTTGGGGTTCTTTACCCTGCTTTTTTCCCTTATCTCGGCTGAGTGGGGAGCGGCAAAAAATGAAGAAAGGTTGATGGGGTGTAGTTATCACGTTCTCCTAGGACACCCTCTGCCCTCCAATGCCATGAGGTGGCAGGAAAAAGTGAGCTCTTCCAGAGACTTTTATTGTAACATGACATAAAGCATGTCTCACTGACACGTTAAAATTCAAACCACGTGAATTTCGCACCACTTTCCGTTGGATGCTCGTATAAATTTGCGTTATCGCACACAATTCAGATTGTGTGGCGGCAAACACCATTATAAAAGTTGCACCGCCACACGAAATCCATTAAATTCCCGCCAATGTGGTTCTCATGAATATTGAGAATTCATGAGTGGTCACTTTATGTCCTAATATCACCTCCAAAGGTGAATCTTTACTGACTCTCTCTCTCCATGTAGAAACGCAATTGGCTTTTCTCTCACGAGTTCATGTCAATGACAGTGATAAAGGTTTATATGGAAATGGCCAGAGAATGCACAGCACACTGTGTGTGTAGGAGAAAATATATGAAAAGAATTCATTTCGAAAATACAAAAAAGAGAAAGAATTTTGACAATTTAAATTCTATAACTCGCAAACACCGGAGATTCCTTTTAATTTTCCTTATCAGAATGTGAATACATACTCCAGTATGTTCAGTTGATATGTTATTTCGTTTTTCAGTTTCGCAAAATGCTGACCCTCCATTTGTTTTTCCTTCAAATCAACACTCAGCTGCAAAAAGTTCACCTCATGATCCCTAATTCGATTCGAGAACCTGCGAAGTCGTAAAGAATCACGGCAAAATGACTCTCAACATGAGATAGATTCAGATGTGGCCTTTCAATCTTCGCTGGTGTGTTTGGGAACGATGACTGGGGGAGTATTCTGGTGCCCTCCCACGAAACGTTGTGGTGAATTTATGATTTCCCATCGGCATGCGCACTGGATGGCGTAAATGTAGGTGGCAAAACTACCCTGACAACGAAGAGCATCTCAGTGAATGGATCAGTTGGTTGTCGTTTGGCGTGCAAGGGAGTTTCCTCGTCGCAAAAACTAGACTTTCCCGGCTTTGGTTTGCCCAAGCAGTGGCACTTGAGGAGAACTTTTTCACTTATCTCTCGGCAGAAAGTTTGAATCGCTCGCAGAGAGCTTCTGCTCTTGAATGGTGAGTAGCTGAGATCGAGGAGTGAAGACATTGTGTATGTGTGTGATGAATTAGAGTTGAACATTGTTTGAGAGGTGGAGTTGGAAGTTTTGGGTGGAGGCGAAAGTGCTTGGAAGGCGACGAGAAGCTGCCAAAAGGGGCAAAAGATAGATAGGGAGAAAGTGCGAAGCGCAGAGTGTCAAGTGCTGCACAATGTGACTCTGGGATTTGCTAAGATGTGCCCTAGAAATATGGATATTTTGTGTGTTTTTGTGATTAAATCCTCGACGGGGTGAAGCGGTGGTTGGGAAATTGGGGGAAAATGTGAAAAATGAATGAATATGACATAGCAGCTGGAAATCACTTTTCCATCTCACTCACGCAATAACGCGAGTAATCCCGATGATGGAAGGCAGCGAGTGACTTTGAGGCATATTTCTGAAAGGTAACATTCAGTCGTAATTAATTCCACTTTTCCGAACGATATAAAATAAAATCCACCGACCTTATTCACGCTGTAGGAAGATGTAGAAAAACACGTCAGTAGCAGCAATGCTTTGATATTTGTTGCCAACAAATTGAACGTTATATATATCTTCAAAAGTGAAATTTTGCTCCAAGGTATCAAATTTAAGTATTATGAGAGGGACTTTGTGCTGAAAAGTTCATATTTTGCACCCTGGGAGAAGATATTAAGAGCTTTTTCGGGAAAATTTTAATTTATATCCTCTTCTTGGTTTCACTCGTGATGAAGAGTCATCCAGCAGCAAAAGGACGCTATTTTTGTTTGAGAGGAACAAGAATATAGAAGATGCAGCACTGTCTGGAGTGTAAGCACTCATACTGCTCCAGTTTCACTCTCAAGAGGGTAACAAGTAACAATTTGCACGCTGAGCAAACAGTGTAATGAAAGAAGGGAAAAATCTACATTTCCTCTGAGGCATCAAATAAATAATTTAGAATCACAGTAATAAAAATTCTCAGAATAAAAACGCCGTAACTTGAATTTATAAATTTTTAACTTTTATATAATTCAGGTAGGTTTAGAAAATTTACCTAAGTGTTTTCCAAACATGCATAAACACGTGTAAAGGTTTGAATTTCCAATACAAATTGCGATAGAACAGATTTCCTTCGTCAGCTTTTTCTCTATATAACATCTTATTTATCAGCCCTCTCTGCTCTGTAGATGCCAAAGTGCAGGATAACGAAGCTTCTGGGGTGAAATTAAATTTGTGTGTGCTCCATCCATAGAATTTTCAAATTCAATTCGATTCCTTGCAAATTGAATATTTTGTGAGATGGTAAGACGGGCGTTTCGGGAAAATAGGCCAAATCAGATGTCGAATGTGCAACAGAAGTTGATAATTCTTTCTTGTTCTACTACTGTTTGGCCCTTACTCTCTCGTCATGTGCTGCCATTGGATCTCAAAATGATGAAGAACCTTCGCCTGTTTGGGGGGTGGAAAATTCTAAAAAGTTAGCTCTGGTGGGAGAAAGAAAAAAAACATGTAAAGAAATAACTTTCGGAAAAGGAATTTATTTTGCTGTCGAAACTTTTCTTTCTTGTTAATATTGTATTTTGTACAGTATTACATAATTTTTATACATAGAGTGTAATTCTCAATGCGCGTGCAGAATTCATAGAATTATTCAATGAAATTCCCTTTTTGCAAATCATCTCGCAAACAAATAGACATCTCGCGTAGCTTCTTCTTGCTGTCTCTGTGTGAAAGAAGATGGAATGGATAGAATGAAAGTGTGAAGTGAGGAGCGAGAATTCTTGCACAAATTCAATATGCGAATGGATTCTTTAATTTTACATCCACGTTTTTCGAACAATTGTGAGAAAACTTTTCAACATTCCTTAGCAAATTTCTACTATTGGCAAATATCTTCAATATTGACATTCCACCAGAAGAACTCACCTTTATGCAATTTTTTCCCCATCGCGCGACGAGTGAAGTAAAGGCAGAAAAGTCATCGGTGTATGAAGAAATTCCCATATTGACATATTTTACTGTCACTTGGATAGAAATCAATTCAAATTATCATCATCAATTATACTTGTGCTTAAACATTTTGTATTTTTTTTTACTACTCTAGTTGTCGATTAAATTTTCTATTAACCTCCACGAAGCCCTTATTTAGTGTGCTCAATAGTAGGGAAATGCCGTATCCCAACATACATATTTTATTCTTTTCCTCATTCGACAAACACCTCGCATACCTGATAAACCGGGTGATTGATGAGAGTTTATATGCGACAAACACGCATCATCTTTATGAGTGATGTTCCAGCAATTTAATGCGTATGTTGTCAAGTAAAGAAAATGCTTGGGCATGAGTATATATCTCGAATACATCCTTAATGTTCCGCCAGTGGTATTAATAAGGAAGAGGCAAAATAGAATGAGCAGTCACACGTGATGAAAGACCCCATTTTCATCATACATTCACCGCATTTATGCCATTTAATTCCATTCACTTGTGTCTCCACAGCGAAAAGGGAACATTTTTGTAGAAAAGAAAATCTTCTTACTTCCAGACAGCTTATTGGTTTAAGTATCTCTGTATAAAATGGAAAACATAGAACTTTGCATGTAACAAAACGATCAATATGTGCATTTCGTTCAAAATTCCCGCAAGAAAAACTCTCTTTGAACCCATACATTTGAGCCTCATCGTGTATGATTAGCGCATTTACAATTGTTCTCTTTTTTCTCTTTTTGTAGATTATATCATAATTGGATATGGCGACACATAATAGACATATAATAGCACAAATTGGATCGGGAATGAGTCCCATTTTGCCATTCCCTCCATCAGCGACTCCATGTGATGTGTAATTGAAAAATTTATTGAAATAACTCGCGCCGTATTGAAGCACATATTGCGACTCAACACTCTACCCAAATGGATGCGGAACAATTTCAATTTCCATCGTGAGTGCTAAAATAGACAAATTGTGGCGAAAAATTGATGGGGAGTCGGGCTTTTTAGCGAAATAAACATAAATCTACTGGAGAAACAACGCGTCATAGAATATGAAAGCGACTCTGAGCGGGATTTCACGTTGGATTGCAACTGAGTGAGTGATTTCGCAGGTGAATTTGCAGTAAACTGACGTGGTGGAAGATGCAGAGCAATCAAAATGCTTGTGATTGTAATTGTTGGGGACGATGTGGCGGAGAACATTTCTCACCCCCAATCGTCACTGTGAGGATGCGTGGTTCTCTAGTCAACACAATGTCAAGCCAGTCGTCATCCACAGTCATGAAACGATGGCCAAATTGTCATGTGGCAGCAGCAAAGTGGATCAGAATAATTCTACTGAGTCTCCTCTTTCGCTACAGCAATTGTGAGTATGCAATAGAGATTTCCCTGAATGCAAAATTGTCAATACAGTCTGAGCAGTTTCATCAGTAGCTCTTCTTTCATTGCTCTATATAACATCTCTATTACATAATAATAAGAAAATGCTCTGGACGATGTTTTTTTTTTTCATTCATGAAAGAAATTCATGTTTCAGAGTGTTTCACTCTGTCTTTATTTTATTGAATCGTATCCAATATTGCAAATATCCATAATAACGACAGCAATTTTGCAGAAATTAGCCAAACGATTGCATTTCACAATGGATTCAATATTATCCAATAAGAAAAACATCAACGGCGAGGGAGAGGAAAATGGGAAAAATAAGAAATACAGATCGGATTGAAGAAGATCGACTGAAAGCACAATATCAAGAATCGTAACAATTGTTTGAAGTGTTCCCAATAACATCGTCTTATTGAATTCAATTTCTTTAAATTGCATCTGAAACATTAAAGCTTTTATGTTCAAAATCAATCAAAAAAATTATTGATATCGAATACAGACGGAATCATACATGGAAATTATTTTTCTTCGAGATTTTTTACTGAAAACTAAACTACTTTTTCAGACTTTTATGTGATAGTAATTGTAAAATTACGTGGTCTCTTGTCACCGAAAAAGCCTTATCATTCTCATGTTTATACTGGCATAAACTGTCCTAAATTACCAAGTGTAGGCTTGTATTAGATACAGAAACCATTAGGGAGAAGACACTTCATACATATCTACATACGTTTGTTTCTGAAGCTATTCTGTGGCGTCACAGCAGAGACGTTTGTGGCCTGAATTGCAAATTGTTAATTTCGGAGTGTACCATAATTATTTTACGAGCAATCATCTGCAGATGAATAACTTAGGGGTATGGCAATTGTTGACTCACGTGACGAATTGCGTGAAAATTTTATGTCACACCACACAATTTTACATGCAGCGTCTCATGGGGAAATTGCCTAGAATTTATGTGAAGGATTTCCATAAATTTGGGACTAATTTCCAGACTGAACTCTTGCTTGAGACTTTTGGCGATAAGTGAAAAATTTCCCTCATCGCTGCCATGGATTAGCATGATGCTGTGTGGGTGGGGAAATGGGATTCGGCAAAGTTTTGTTGCATGTTTACCCCGAGATGATTCAAACGCTGGGTCGTGGGCGGAAGTTCAAGGAATGTATTAGACTTTGTATTAGACTTTTGGGCAATTTTTTTGCCTTTGACGAAGAGCATTTTATCACCAGTGAACACACGATAAAGTTTTATTGGCGCATTTGCGAACACGTGGCCAGGAATGGGCAAGTCCAGCGGGGTGGCAAAGTCCCAGAATTCGATACTGTAACTATATCTATGGGATGGTTTTGTGGTGATTTCTGCATTAATGAATAGTCAGCTGGACGACTCATTATCACCACCGCAGAATATTGTCATCACCATTATCTAAATGGGTGGCTTTTACGACTCTTCCCCAGTTCATCCCATCCAGCTACCACTCTTGAGTCACGCCAGACTGAACCCAAAAGTGTGAAGTGGTTCACCACAAGCGACACATTCACTTTTTGTGCCCCAACCGCCAACATACTGCACTGTTTGTATCTTTTCGCCGTGCATTCCCCATTTCGGTGTTGCGAAAAGTCACTCTTGTGCCACCAACACACCATCCACACCGGCTATATTCATATAATATGTTGTAATAGGTGAGAATAAAAATATCCATTCTCAACATTTCGTACTTCAAGTCTTTCAGGAGTCCTTCAGGCATTCGACTAAAGGACAGGCTTCTCGAAGCGGGAAAAGAGAGTGTTGTTAAAGTACTTTTGGGTGTACTTTAGGAGAAGAAGATCAAACACGATAGCTAAATGCTCTTGACTAAAATATATCTGGGATTTCAAATTTCAAAATGTTCCCACCCTCGAAAGCAAGTAAAAACAAATTGTCCACATATTTTTTTTAAAGTAATTTTTTTCATGTAAAGTCATTATAGGAAATTTATAGTTAATTTTGTGTTAAATGTGCGTTAATTCACTATCCACGGAGAAAATCTCAGGCTGAATCCTCTGGCAGTATTTAGAGCTTAATTGGATAATCTCGTGGAACGAATTTCATGACAAAAATTGATTTTTAATTACACTCACAAATGGTGCCTTGCGCCGGGAGGAGATTGAAGGTGAGGCTGAAAGTTTGCCTAAATTGCTCCCTGGGAGCTTTTAATTTGGCACACATTTAAGAGGGAGCATTTAGTAAACAAGTTGAGAAAATTTATGCGCGCGATTTCTCCCACAATATTCCTCATGAGATGAGCGAGAGCTCAACCGACTTTAAAGTCAATTTAATTCTCTGCAATGATTCACTTTTAGTTTTGCCGGGGTGTTCGGCTTAATTGTGTGGTTGTCTGTGCCTGGAGAGAGAATGGTTATTATATGAGAAGTCGCAGCTTTGAAATATACCAATGAAAAGTGGGACAGTCTCAAACATACAGAGTGGGAAAATTAGTTTTTGAACGCTGCCAAGAAGAGGAAAAAAGTTCGTGCTGAGAGAAATTTCGCTCCGTTCAACTTCTCATCATTCGACAGTGTGTTCGGGAAGAGTGGCAATTTGTCTTGACTTCGAGAGACAATATCTGCGTGACAAACGACATTGGAGTGGGTATAAAAAAGGTAATCGCTATATGTTGGCAATGTATGAGGCACAAATTTCACATTGACCAAGCACAAACAATCGATATTTATCTTCGCCCGAGCAAATCCCATTCATTCCTTCTTGTCGGACAACCTCAAATCCGAGACGCTGGGCCTTTTCTTGCAAGATGACGATGGACAAAAAACGGCACGTAATGCATTTAACATCCCATTAGCTTTATTTATCAGCACAAACACAAGACGCATGGCTCAGGGGAGAAGTGGGAGTCGTGTGCGAAACCGTGAATCCCACCCGCCGTCATCAAAATGATAAATTGTGGCCATTTCCAGACTAAATCAAATTTTATTTTTTTGCGCGCTCGCCACCCAAAGTCCTTTGGCACACACACAGCCAGTGTCTCCAAAAGCAGTGGAAATTGTGTGGAAAATCGAAATTTCTGCGTTGATGCTGCAACGCACCCGACGATTGGAGGCAATTGACATTAAAGTGCTACGCTATTTTACGCACTTTTTCACTGTCTCAACACTAAATCACCCCCATTGAGTGCAGCCACCCAGAATGAGAGCCCATTTGTAATCTATTTGAACTGCCTTGGCTCAGAGGACAAACACTGAAATTTTTCATCATCAATTCCCAAGAATGTTTCCAAGTGAAATCCAACGAGTGGGTGTGAGGCCCATTTCGAATTCTATTGATTCTCCATGAAAATGCTGCTCAAGGAATCGTCATTTGTATCGGTGGAGCTCGAGATATTTCTTCGGAAGGAATTCATGTTATTGTTATTTGCTGGGAAATGCGATGCCTATAAATATCATTAAATTTAACAGACTTTTCTAGAGAAAAATATATATGTTCTATAGACACATAGATACCTTGGAATCTTCTCTAAATGATTCTATGGATATGGCAAAAAGAATTTATTTTAAAATGAATACCTACAGAGAGCATGAAAATGTTATATTGAATTATGGTCTGCCGCACAGAGTCAAATTCATGTGTTCTGAATTCAAATGGATATATTTTCCGTAAAAATACAGTATTCATCTAAAATGATCTCATATCAATTTCTAACTCATTCACTCTTTATTTATTATTTGTATTCAAGTTCGCACTTTCATTTGCAAGGCATAGGGTTTTATATGAGCAATCTTTGGTGCCACATATAGGGCGGAAGGGCTGGGAGTTTGGGGAGGCGAGATAAGCAAGCAGCATCCCTTATTTGCTCAGATAATGGTTAATATGCGAGCATGTCACAAATACGCCATCGCCCGCATTTCTATTTAATTTCCTCCACAAACATTTTTCTTATTTATTAGTGAATCTTATGTTGGCAAAAACACACACGCGCCTCAAATGACAAGATTGGCTGCTTAGCTTATCCGGAAAGCGAGGGGATGGGCGAGAGTGAACGTGGAAAATGAAGAGATGACGAATTGGGGAAAATATCCAGAAGCACACAATGGGTGGATGGAAAATGTCAACTGTGTGAAGTATCGAGAAAGAAGCCACTTTTCCCTCCCCGCAAGCACTTGAGATTTATACAGCGTTTGTCTATGCGAGCAACTAAAGTACACAGAAGACACATTTCACCAAGTATTTTAGTATTTCACCCACACAGCAGCTCATGAGCAAAATACCATCCACTTTGCATCAGCCACAGCTTCACTGACAATCTCGCGGAAAGTTCGTCCCGACCCGCTTTCAGTTGGGGCGAGATAAAAATCTTATGGCGTCGGGTAGCATTGTTTAAATGGCGGGAATTTCTATATTACACACATTGTCACCCCCCAAACCCGCCGCGTGTCCTCGCCAAAATGTCCCTGAGCTTTTACACCAACTGACATGGGATTTGGCGACGAAGGGTGTGTGTGCGGAAGGAAGGATCTGAGCGGTGGAAAAGCTCCCCATTTCCTCGTGGAAAAACACTCTCACACATGCTGCTGCCTTGCCATCTAACACTTTCCGCGCGGAAAATGACGGAAACTTTGCATATAAATCTAAAGTTCACATATCCAAGATGCAATATTTCCCTTTTATTTGTGGTGTCACGCGACACCACAGAAAGCCTCACCACCCATGTACAAGTGACATCGCACTCCTTTCATTTTGTTGATTCTTCGTCGCGTTTTTTTCCTCACCACCATTGCAGAATTCCTCGTGCCATCATCAGGGAACAACAAGCAACAAAAAAGTGACTACATGGAACGAATATCAATGAAAACAAGAGTGTGTGGCAATGAAGATGCCTGATGGTTGCGAGAGCTTTCGCAAAAACTCGGCGCCTCCATGACAAAAAAGAACTATAGCCACCATGTAAACAAGATATGGTGTAACTGTCCTAATAAATTGCAATTCACACTTGAGATTCAGTTTCGCTAAAATTGTCAAAATTTCTGAAAATGCGACATTCATTTGCTAATACAGCAATTTACACAACTTCCAAGTCATTTCTACGTTTTCATGTGGATGTGAATAACATTCACAGCATGTTCTGGCCGTACCTTAAGTTCCCCTCTCACTTTCTATATATTTACTCCCTGGCAATTTCAATGTGCGGAATGGATATGCTTTGTAATTTACACCCCAAACACTCTGCACAGATCCTCGCTTTCATGTCTCTTTTTTTTCTTGGCAAAGTGGTGTGGAGAAATCGTGAGAAAAAGTGTGAGCTTAGGCAGAGCTGGAAACACGGCAAAAGTTGAAAATGATGAAATGTGATGGTGAGAAAATCGTATGAGACCAATTCTCGTGGAAACTTTTCTCTGCAAATGCCACTTCGTAATGCTGAGATTTCGGTGAATCTATCAATTTATTCAAAAGTGGGTAATTCTCGGCAAAAAGGCACTCTCTCTCTCCCCACAAAATCCAATATAGAAAACTTGCCACAGCCTTTTCCCGAATGTGGCATGTCGCCTCGAAGGCCAGTCGGACACACTGCACGTTTTTGGGATTATTCACACATAACACCATTTGCATATAGAGTGATACCCACCTTTTGGGATACTCACAATTTGTCTAAACTAAACTTTCGCATCGTCATACCCGTAATTGATCCCACACGAGCCTCGTCGTGAGGATCGGAATGGCAAAATAATGGACTTTTGGGCACTGCAGAATGTATGAAGCTGGTTTGGTGGGTGTTGAAAATTCAACAGGAACATAGGCAATGAACAACTGAATTTCGCACCAAATCCCACCCTCTCGACGTGTGTGTATGTGGCATTTAGTTGCTGAAGATGTTTCACAATTGCACACAAGTTCTTATCCAAAAGTGGTCAAGAATTTGTACGAAAGCACCCAGATACTCCTTTCCTATTGATTTTATCTCCATTCTTGATTTATGGTTCTCGTGTGTTCCACAATAGTACTCTACCCTCAATTGGCGATTTCACCAGGCAATATGTATTTCTGTGGGTATTGAGAGCAACTGAATCCACAGCGTCAGCACATGCTCCTCTATTTGCATGTCTCTGATTGCCGATGATACTCCCTTTTCAGCCATTCCTGCAAACATTTGAGAGCTCCTCAATCACCACAGAGTCACCAGAGACATTTTCATGTCCCCTGAGTAAATTTCCCAGCTCACAGCACGTGTCTCACTTCATTGTATGAATGGAAAAATCTCAAATTTCATTCCCAATTCCAACAAACTGCCATATTTCCATATCTTCATACAGCCACAGAGGAAATATGTGAATTCTCATGAAGTAATATTTTTTCAACAATGTCTTGAATTTCACTTTTTCGACGAAAGACATTTTCCATTATTTGGTAAACATTAAATCGTGTATTTGTCTTTTTTTGACTTGACCTGGGGATAGGATAAACCTTTCTTTTTCCCCTCCAAAGCCTCTAATGTTTATGCTGCAAACTTCCGAGGAAAGCCAGCCACCAGGGTAGAAAAATTCCGTTGCCATAGAATCTATTAATTAGTATAAAAATAGAAGCATCCACCGAATAAGCTTCCATGTTCCTGGTTTTATACAAAATTCTATATTTTATTATCCTATTCAATTTTATTGAAGGTGCTTGATCTAAATTAAAATACGAAATATAATCTGCAAACCCTCAATGTCTGTTTTTAGGCAATTCAATTAATTTTCAATTCAGCACGTTTTTCCCCTCATCATTGCGGATGATATTGTCAATTTACACAAAGTGATAATTTAGTGCTTGGCAAAAGTTGCACAGTAAATCAAGTGAGTGGAGATTAAATTTCCTCTTGTAAAGCATAGAGAATTTGTCCCTATTTAGATAGTGTGACGATGCAAATAATTAGTACAGGATGTCATTGGAGTACTTAATTATAAATTTCGAAAATACCGCAGTCAGATGAAGTTCTATGGTGATCCATCAACCAAACCGGCATTCTACATATATTCATAATAGTCCCATTTTGACGAGGGAAATTGATATAGTGATAATGATGCTGAACAATGTGCGAGAAAAGGACTGAATTCTCTAAAACGCCTCATTGTTGCTGCACGAATGATGAACAATGTGATGGACCTTCGTCGCATTGATAAACATTATGTACAATGCGGAATACTTTTACATAATTCATGAATAACTCTCATTATTCTACATACATACGAAATTTGTTTCACAAATGCTCCTCAATATTATCCGTAAAAATAAGGATTTTATCGTGAATTGCTGTAGAGCTTTATCGGTTATTTTCAATATATCGTCTAAATTTTTACACATGAAATACAGCTGAAATGTATCAAGCATAGTCGTATTTTAACAAGGTTTATGCTACAGACCTCTCCTCTTGCTGTGCACACCCATGAAATGCTCAGCGCGACATGTTCGCGAGGGTGTGGGTGAGAAAAGAGCTTTGCGCGGTATAGTTTGCCGTCATGTAATAGTATAAATTTTGGGTGAAGTCGCATGAAAATTCCAGGAAATAAATCTTCGAAAATGTATTTTGCAGGTCTTGCAGCGATTCACGACTTTCCGAAAGGTACAAATGCTGGTGCTGTCACGGATGTGATGCCACAGACGCTATCGGTGGGCCACAACATAACAAATCGCTTCATAAAGAATGTGTCAATCAGCTATAGTTACACGCCGAAGAACAAGACGAACGCCAGAATAGACTTCTCACTGGGACTGACCAATGGGTCAATTTCCGGTGCAAGGATGCAATCGACCGTGGCGAGTGACAGAGGCGCGGGTGGCAGGAGACGAGCGGACAACAGCACGAACGGCAAACAGCAAGAAATTAGTTTAGAAAATATGGATAAACAGGAGAATCAATTGGGAAATAGTGATGACATTCACAGTTCCGGGTCGATTAATGGGAATAGTGAATTGGAAGAAATGTCCTTCGGTACACAGAACTACACCACAGTAACGACACAAATCGGATCAACATCCACAATGTTGACCTGCACTGTGCACAACATCGGTGAAGGAGTGGTAAGTTTTCCAACCTACATGGAGTCTTTGGAAAGTTCCTCCAGGCTATTTTGCTCATGAGTCGTGGCGGGTGTGAGATGAACTTCTGTGACGATTGAAAGCTACACTATTGCGAGTGCGAGTAGGTTTTGGGTGAGGGTTTGAGAAAAACGAATAGATTAAATATAAAGTCTCGAAACAACTTTTGCCGCACCATATCCACAAGGCAAACTCGAAAATCCCTCTCCTTTTGTGCACATTTTATAACCTCGCAGGGTGCTTTTCGCTATTGCACACCACGTACATTCACCCCCTCGCTCACATGAGAGAAGTTGGTCTTTGACTCCACTATTTGTCTTATTTCCCCATTCTGCACCAGCTCTCCACGACCGCCCTAATCGAGACATTTGAATGAATGCAATAAGGTGTGAAGTGAATAGAAATTTAATTCGTTATCCCATCTTAGTAGCGTTGAAGCTTTTATACCCAAACGTTCACACGGCCAGACACATTAAGGGTGCGAAAAGTCTCTAGCTCTGAAGCAGTTTTCTCTTGCACTTTCTCATTAAGTTTTTCACAATGACATTCCCGTGGATTTGAGTGCTTTCTGAGGAGTTTAACACTGTCCAATAAAGGTTGAAAGTGAGTGTTTGCAACACTTTTCAAGCCAATGAAAACCTTCATTTCACAGAAATGTGTACTTTTGACATACGAATCAGCTTATATAAAGTCATCATTTGCTACATTGCAAAGTATAATCCATCAGGAAATGTTGAGAAGCATAATTCATATAGCAAAGCATTTAATGTAATTTATCTTCTTTAAAATGTCTCCAGTAAAATTGCAAAATTGAATTGCAACTTCCATATTGTGACTCAGCAGGTCTTTCATCCACTTAGTTCTCGTCAACTAAAGTAATATTGTTGGCTAAAAGAGTGTATAGAGAAAATCTTTATAAACATAGCATGTGCATGAATATGTTGTATTAAAGTGTTAAAGTGGACTTAACATCTCGGGACGAAGTGTACATCATTTGGAGTAATTTAAAATGTTCTGTCAAGGGCCAAAAGATGTGAAATTAGCATGCAGGACAAAATGCAGAGGACATCAAAGTCGCAGGATTGTCCTTGATGCAGAGATGAGGGTGATGACGAAGAAGGTGGGTGGGAGATGGGTGCCGAGGATACAAAGCGTGATTCTAGCATAATTTTTCATCGTTTCTGACATCTAATTCCAAGTGAGCCATCCACCATGTCGTCGCCAAATCGGGGCGAGTTTTATAATTCCACCAAGAGCTTTTTATTACATCTTTCTTGGCTCTCTTTTTTCTCCTCCCCTCGCTGTGTGTCTCTTCCGAGGAGGGGTTGAAGACAAGTGGTGGGGCCGCCCTGAAGAACGCGAATATTAATGGGATAATTTTTCTCTTTTCGCGCGCAATTCCGCATCGGAGAAGCTTGAGCGAGCCTGGACGGTGCGGAATACATCTAAGTGATCCGTCACATGGAAATGGTGGGGCGTTGCATGTGGGAAGGGTTTGCGGAAATGGGGCCAAAGAGAGATAATACTATAAGGAATGATTTTAATTTCAAGGTGTCTTGGATCCGGCGGAGTAAGGACGATTATCACTTGCTCACAGTGGGCATGACAACTTACTCCAGTGACGAACGCTTCAATGCCATCCACAGAGACGACTCTGACGTAAGTGAATAGCACAGAATTCATTACATTATTTCACCCCAACTCCTACACTACGACCAGATCAAATGGAATGCAAGAAATGTTCAATTTCACGTCGACTTTGCAGGGGCAAAAAAAAAACATTCCCAAGCAAAGTTCCGGCATTCATTAGAGCTATTTTTATTGTTAATATCTCTTGTTAAATATCCCAGGGTTTCTGCTATGAAATGAAATTCCTCTATTTCGGCTTTTTACCCCCATTATTTAGAACTGTATTCAATTTGGGCCAAAAATGGCAATTAAACTGCTATTGCAAATGGGTAATTGCTCAGATTGGAATGCCGATCAAATATATGTATATAGCACAACTCAACCAGATTTTCCACTATATTTTTTACATACAGTTCCATTCGTATGTTGGCAATCAAATAAAATCCGTTGAATAGAATTACATTCTATTTGGGCACAGAGTAGCTGCTGAAAATTGTCAGGGGAACTTTCCCTATATTACTCCGATAAATACACTATATAACCTTGTTTGTAGACGATATACATTTAAATCCATCAGTCTCTGTGTTGGTAAATATTTTTCAATAGTTTGTGAAGCTTCTATTTTTCCCAATTTAAAACTTCGTAAATGTCTTCGTTGTGTGTTAAGAAGACAGAGCACATTAATTACACTCAAGAGACGTGAGAGGCACCGCAAGATACCTCAGAAAACTGTGCCCACAAAGAACAATTTCATGAGACATTGAATCCATACGACATGAGCATCTCACCACGTGTCTAATTGAATTTCCCCAGGAGTGGACTCTGCAAATAAAATTTGTCCAGATGAGAGACTCGGGCGTGTACGAGTGCCAGGTTTCTTCGCATCCCCCATCGTCGATTATGATTCAATTAGATGTTGTGGGTGAGTATTTTATTGTATAAATCTGTGAATCATGTAATTAGTCCTGGAGTTACGATCACTTGCCACAGAATTGTCGTCACTTTATGTATGTGGCATATGTCAATTCCATGTGAGAAGATATATGGATGAAAGTGTGTGGCGGGGCAGGATTATTCCGATGAGCTTTTTCACATGGGCGTCAAGTGAGGGCCCGTGATGAGCTTCTTCTGTCCTTGTCATAAAATGATCCGATAACTTTCCATTGTGCCTGCGTTGAGGAGAGCTTTTATGTTCATACACTGGCAACTGAATAAAGTTATTACGCTTTACGATGAGCTATTAAATTAAAAGAGAAACAAGAATGACAGTCTTTTGGCCCGGCCACGACGACTGGTGCATATTTTCGCAATTTTCCACCTCACTGTTATGGCCAGAACATGAAAAAGTCTCAATAGTGCTTGCGAAATAAATACTTAATGACGGTAATATGTTGCTTTGCTCCTCACTTTCATCCACTTTTGCCACTTACGAGAGTCGACATTTTCCCGAGAGCCACTCTACGGTGGAGAGCTAATTTTTAATGGGACCCACCCTGTCTGGGATGGGAAAATGATCTTTTCAGAGGCGAGAGCCGAGATTACTGGCCCAGCTGAGAAGTACTTGAAGCCCGGCTCGACCTTAAGACTCGCTTGTCGTGTGCAGCAGAGCACTGAGCCTCCATTGTACATTTTCTGGTATCACAACAATAGAATGATTAACTATGACTCGGATCGGGGTGTTAATGTGACTACAGAAGCGGACAATCGGTATTCTGAGTTACTCATTGATCAGACGTCCTACTCACATGCCGGCAACTATTCGTGCGTACCCAACAGTGCCGTCCCAGCCAGCACAGTGGTGCACATATTCAATGGTAAGTGGAATTCTAGCAATGGCAAATGTTTAAAGACAAGCATTTCACTCATAATAGCATGTAAGCAAGCGACACTTTAAGATCTGCATAAGGAAATTTCATCAAGATAAAACTAGAGATGAAAATGCTCCTTTCTGATGTGATATTTATAATCACTGCTTTCGCATTCAAAGAAAATTTAACTGATGATGTTGTGATTGCTAATTTATGGGAATCGATGGGATGTGTGAAGGAATTTCCCAGAATTTCCAGAAAGAGCACCGAAAAGTTCAGTATTTACCATCTAATGAAACTACAAGCATTTGTATTTTCAATGGACCAAAACTGATTCACTTCCTTTTTTCCAATTGATGGGAATCTGAGAGAGTGAAAGAGTGAGAGAGAGAGAGAGTTTTATCCATCATTCCTCGAAGGGAGAATAATTGCTCCTCTGAGCTTTCGATGTGTGGCTGAGTCTTCATTGAAAACCACATCAATCGAACTAACCAATCTTTTTAGGTCCTCTCACTCCCCCAGGATCATGTGTCACCGAAACCTCATGAAATAGATGGTATATCGAATACACGTAATCGATGAAACACGTTTCAATTGCCATTTATTATACCTCCCCCATCCTGTCATCGCTGAACCAGAGGGTTTTCCAGGGAGTGAAATAATTTATTTTCGAACGGGAGATCACCGATGAAAGCTCCCACAAACCCTCATGTGAAATTTACACTATGGTCAGATGACTGTCTGGCTTGATTTTCTATTTGGCACAGTTTTTCCCTCCATTCCTCGGAGACCAGTATAGCAAATTTCCAATTTTCACCCGTACCATGTCAACTTAATACCTTGTTATTTTTTCGGAGCTGATAAACACGAATTAGATTGCCATACACATGCTATCTATGTACTCTTGCATGTGCGATATGTGGAATATTACTCAGTAAATCGTTATGCTGGATTTATATGAATGGTACAAAACTATGTTTTCTCAGCAAATAATACTGTTCATAGCAAAATATTCCGCATTCTAATGCTATTGGACAATTCATTGCTTGAAAGTCTTAATGAAGATTGTGCTATAATGTTAATGGGGAATATAAATTGACAATATTTTTCAAGTGATTACTATAAAAGTCACTTTATTTCACACGAAGACCTTAAATTGATTTCCACCACGCTCCAATGCTTCACACTATACTCCACACGTCACGAAAGACTGCATTTTATGTGATAATTCCCAAGACTTTGAGTTTTTCATGGGGTGTGGGCTAAATTTAAAGTGACACAAGTTCTTCAATTAAAGTGACAAAGCGGAGAAAGTGATCCAGCTGCTGGTGATTTCATGCGTCTTACTATAGATGTACTGGGAGAAAGAGAGTTTATTTTCACGACTTTTGGCTGTACGAATCTTGGAAAAACATCCCTGTCACACTTGGAAGAGTTCTCAGTGAATCTGGGATGAAAGTTGACTTTTAATTTTCATCATTTTCATTCCACTGCGTTATAATAACATACGCTACTTTCGCCATTGACGAGAAGCCCACTGTGATTGCATAGAAGGATTCTGTGAGAAACATTGAGTAGTAAAAAAATCACGTGTTCACTTGGAAAACTTTAATTCGTCCATTAAAGTGTAAGCTCTCTATAGAGATTTTGTGAAACTTTAGTGGCAAAGTTCACTGGAAAATATGCGTGTTTTGGAAATGAGGGGATTGGACGGTCAACGTGGATGGTAGAATGGGTGAGAGTGTTTCTCGTATGCTTTGAATTCTCAAATGAATCTCAAGTATACACAGATGCCCCAAAAAATGTTATTTGACCCAAAAGATGAGAGAAGTTTCATCTCCTCTTATTCGCTCTGTGTTTCATCTGAGCAAATTTTCTCTAGTATTTTAACTATTTCGCTTCTTTGTTCACATGCCTGAACTGGTAAATGCTTTGATAAGTCTCGTTGTCGTGCTTCGATGAAAGAATCTTATACATAAGATTGGTTCACAGAGAGAGTCACATTCGAGATCCTTTAGCATGTTGAAGCACATTCTTTTTGCACAACCTCAGCTTCTCAATTTGCTTGCTTGTGAAGCCATTGTCGTAAAATTACAGCGACAAAGCGTGTGGGTGCGTGAGAGATAAGAATATCTCCAATTTTATATTATACAATAGGTACAGGAAAATTTCCCAGACAGACAATATATACTTTTGCTCATTGTTGAAAAGAGGAAATGATTTGCATTTGGTGGGCTCAATTGCCTCATTATTTGCCAATAGCAAATGAGAATGGTATTCCATTTGCGGATGAAGAGGATAATCAAGCAAATTAATACTATATGCTCCAGTTTGTATTTCAATCAACATGCTCATATATCCCTTTTGCCCAGGATATGTGATGACTTGGCAGAGTGGCACGAAGCTGGAAAAGTAGGTGAAGGGCAAAAGGAATATGAGATCCAATGCTCAATATCAATTCGCACCATTTGATGCTCGGACATTTTGCGAAATGAGTTTAGCATGTCTAATTATCATAAAATATCATGGGGGACACATTAGGAGCAAATGTGCAGACATAATTCGGGAATAAAGGATTCTATGCCGAGTGGGAAGAGAGTTTTCGAACTTCGCAGTGGAGCCGCCTGGTGGGATTCCACGTTATCGCTTCCAATCTGGAAGAAATCCAAGCGATGTTGATTAAACAACATTACGGAACACACTCCCGCCCACTTTTCAAAGCACAGCCACAAACGGAGCTAATCAAGACAGCTCCAGCCCGCCACGAGGCGCCTGAAAGCTCCCTCGCCACCCCTAATGTTGCCGCTCTGGCACATTTTAACACACACGTGCGTGGCGCACACAAAAAATTTAATGTTTCCTCAATCATCAGGGATTTCGCTGGTCCCCCATCGCACCAGAGATGCTTCTTTCACTAAGAGATAACGTGGGATTTCTCTGGCTGAATGTGTTCTCAAGTTACATTAGCACCAAAGATAGAAGCTGAATCTCGAACAGAGTGTAATTATATCCGTTGGTAATGTATTTTCCGCTCTTCTGGAGATTCCTCGCATAGACAAAAGAAATCGTAAAAACTATAACTATAAGAAATTATTGTACTGAAGCGATTTCACGTAATTTTGTGGTATTTTATATCAATTTAAATCGTGTGTAAACAGCTGAAAGAGATTTCCTGAAGACAATTGATTTTTTTCTCAAGAAATCATTGAAATTTAATGAAATTCATGGTTAAACGGAGAAAATATCATATTCAATTGCACACCATTCTTAAATGCAGCGAATGGAGCACATAATATGCGACAAAGCTACAGTGATATGCATGTATTTTGGATGTTTAGAGAACACCAAACAACAACCATAGTTTAGCAAGAATTTCAACAACACTTTTCTAAGTAGATTAAACTTCACGAGATTGGGTTAGTTTAACAACTGTGAGCATTTAGAAGGACCACAATGGAAGTTGAGGTCGATAAACTTTGGGAAACCTTTGCAAACATTAAATCAAGTACTTATTACCAATTTTCAAAATTATTTTATATGCATAAGTTTCTTATTTTTTTCCTTAATGAAAACATACTTTTACAATGCTTTTGTGAAACTGATGATCACTGGAAGAGCGTCAGACTTGGCGTCAGAAGTTCCGAGCTCAAAGCTCAGTCCAAGAAAATTCCCCCACAACAATCCAACTCTGTGTGAGAAACTTTGAGAATTTGCAAACAAAAAGACCAATTTCCATAAATATTTTCCAACCCGATTCCCCATTTTTTCCCTTCGATAGGGACTGACGCTCACGTTGATGGGAAGTCCATGAGGAGTTTCACTTGGCACTTCGTTTGTTTTCATTTATGTGCTGACGCGAGGGTGGGGCTCAGCATCTCCATACTCGGGTGGATTTACCCCACTTCCCAGCCGTGAGCCAATTTTCCTGGAGTGAGCGTGGAAAGGGGAGAAATCGCCTGCAGCTCTCTGATAACTTTTTCTTTCGCTGCTCATTTTCTTGAACTCCACACACACGCGCAGCTCTCATATTTTCTACAATTCTCCCCTGTGCAACTTTGACAGAAAAATATCAAATGCGCACGATAAGTTGGAGGAAAAGTTTCTCTAGGAGCTGAGATTGTGAAATTGCTGAGATGTTCGTATTTATCAGTTTTATGGCATATCGAAGAAAGTTGTATTTATTCTCGCCTGATGGCTATTCAACATTTTTAATTGATTGAGTTTCTTATTCAAGATTCTTTTTTCGGCTAATTTACCATGCAAAAAATGTCATGAATGGAGAGAAAAAAATTGAGACGAAAACCTGAATGTGGAATGGAGCTTTCCCCGAAAATCATTGATATTTTGCACGTTTTCGGGTATATGATGAAGAAAAAATTCCCATTTACACTTATTCAATCCACATGGGAATTCATTCGTCTGAATCGGCAATGACGCCGAGGAATTGGAGAAAATTGAATTGTCGCCTCAGTTGTGTTGAGGGGTTGACTTGAAAGGTCACGCTCCCACGAAGCCACAAAATGAGCTCACCGAGAGGAAATGAAAAAGGTCGATGGGTGAAAAATTATATTTCAACGCACCAAGAACACTGTCTGGTGCTATTTATTTAGAAGAAAAAAAAAACCTCTTCTCTCATTGCTGATTTACATTCAGGCTTCTTAACATCTCTCAACGTCTCCATCGCTCACCACAGTTTGCTCAAGGTCTACTGCGTTTGATATTCCTGTCATGGAGCCTTCTTTATGATGAGAGACTTAACTTCGTGCTGCAGAATTAAATTCGATATGAAAATTGTGATTTCAGCCCACAAATTAAGAAAATTTCCCTTCTTAAGACTACAATCAAATAATCGGTAAACATTGGGAAAAAAAGGTATAAAGCAAAATCTGTTAAAGCCGTTGAGAAAATTGATAAACATGTTGTTTGTGGCGGAAAAAAGTCAAGTGGAAACGTTTGAAAAATTTTCAATGTATATCTCATTTTGCGTGTAATGTTTTAATGAAATTTTAAATTAATTATCTCGGAAACTTGGGCGTGTCATTAATTGGATTCCAATTTATGTACATTAAATTAAATATTACTGACATACAGCTTAAATTCCAGCCTCGTTAATAAAATGAAATACATTCTAGCTGGATCTCGCTTCATTTGATGCTGCTCTGGGAATTTTATTCCCGTGTCAGAGATTCCAGGGGCGCGGGATGGGATTTTGGGTGGCACTAAAGAGGCAAAGTATTTAATGGAAAATTTTCTCCATAACATAGTAACCCTCTACAGAGCCTCTGTGTTTCTCTCTGCACAGCATTCTCACCCAGCAATTGAATATACAAATTAATAGAAAGCACATGATGATATAGGAAATACCATAATCCCAACGATTTGTTGTTGTGCACAAAATGTGGAGAGTCTTTTTAATTATAATTTCATTTTCCACATCCTTGGGCAAAATTCATCATGCGACGATTAGGGAGGAAGTGCCTGTGAAATCGTATTTTGTCGTTTTAATTTCCTTCTGTTGCAGGTGAAAATCCGGCCGCCATACATCATGTTGGTCATGGTTATCCAGTTCTATCTTCAGCCCCGACGCGACTTGTCATACTCACCGTTGTCATATTAATTCTCATTTCGTAAAAAGGCGAGAGAGAGAGAGAGAGCGAGAGAGGCGACGGATAAGGAAAATGTGCCCTCCACTGTGACCCACAGCAATTTTTCTCTCAACATCCGGCAACTGGACACATTGTTGCAGCATTAATTAAGAGACATGCCCGGTCAGGCATTGAGATATCGCTGAGATTCTTCAACTTTTTCCCCGTCTTGAATCTCCGTCTCGGACAGTGACAAGTGAGTGAACAATTTAAGATTATACAAAGTGAAAAGAATAGTTGGTAATGTTTGTACCTCGGAGAATGTGTATAGCATGTAAGACAGTGAAATTGATAGGGCAGCGTTAAGAGTTATCAGCAGTGAATTTTACTATGTATTCCGTAGTAATGAACGTCAAAGGAATAAAGCACAAAATAATAGACAGAATAATGCTTCATTCCAGCACTGAAATATTTTCTAATGTCTAGAGAAAGTATCAAATGTCTTCTGTATCAGTTGAATGATTTTAGCTAAAGATGTAAAAGAAATAATAGATGTTTCAACATTCTTATTCATTGAGTCGTGATGACGACATTTGTATTACAAAGAATCGCTGAAATCTACAGTTTTTCCCTTAATTATATACACTTAAGGCTTTTAAAATAGTTTAGACATTTTTTAGTTATCTGTTAGTGCTGGAATAAGAATTTCAATTGAGCCATAAATAAAATGATATTCAAATTTTGTATGAAAAAAATAGAAAAAACTATCAGAAATTATCCTGTTCCATAATACATATACAATATTATTTCTAAAAAAACATAGGAGAAAATAAATTGAATGTACAAGATAAAGATCAAGTCCGTGTAAATATAAATGTATGAGCGTGTTAATAAAAAATGCATAAAACTATAATTTCACGTTAGAGACCAAATACTGTACATACTCAAAATCATTGAAATCAAATAAACTTTATTAATATTAATGCGAAAGGGTGTTTGTCGGAGCGTCTGGGATTTCCACTGTAGAAGCAATATTCGAGATTATCTGTTAAATTTGCATGTGTTACCCGCTATAAAAGATGCATGGCGGATAGTGAGGAAGTGTCCCGGAGATAAAAAATGACGACTGCCTGGGGAGCTTCGCAAGAGGTGGCTGTATAATATTCATTATACATTATTTGCCACTTATTGGATGATAAGAAACACAGGGAGACCCAATAAAACCCCTCAATATGTTCAATGTCACGTCGGAAAGCATCAAGTCATTGTGCACCCCAAGGAGCTCTTCTTTGACGCCTTCGCCAATATTGCGCAGCTCAATCGTCCCCTTTTGATGAATATTACGCGATCATTAATAATGTGAATGGTTTTGGATATTCGCTCGTCACACTCGCACGTATGCCGAAAGCACAATCTATCAATCATCCCCATCGCTCTGACCAGCGCGGCTCCCCTTCCATGTGGGAATGTTCGTTCTTGTAATGATGATGATCGGGGCATTTATAAGACACCGCATCATCTCAATTTCAGCTCTCGACGCTCTCTGTTTCATGATGCTGGAAGCTGGGGGTTTGGAATTTGAGGTTTGAGCTCACAGGGAAGGGAGCATATGCAAGGGACGGAAATTTGCTGAGAGACGACTTCGCCTCCTTTTAGAATTTATTGCTCTTTTATAGCATCGCGGGAACATGTGAATACCCACCGCCACACACTTAAGCAGTGTATGTGGGAAAATGAAGAGAATTTCCCTATGGCATCTTGAGGAGCGAGCGAGAGAGCGTGGAAAAGCGATCTGATGGTACAATTTTGAGGATTTTCTTACTCGCTCGAGAGTCCTCAGTCAAGGGGTGTTCAACTTTGGTGATAAATTGTGTACACTCTCTCCCATCAGCAAAAAATTTTATCGCAAATGTGTGATTCTGTCGTGAATTTGTGATTTTATGTCACTTTCACTGCGTCACAATTTCACACTACATTTCACTGAATTTTTCATGAAAATTCTGCAGGCTTTGGAAATTTTCCAATGCGGTTAGGGAAATCAGCAGACATTTACTGTAAATATTTTCACCCAATTCAAATATGAGAAGCAAGATTGCGAAAGAGAAGTTTCTTGTTTGCAAAGTAATTCAATTCCTCTATGTATAAATTTTCAAACATAATTCGCAAGTCATATAATCGTTGTGGAAACGTAACAAAAGTCTATGAATCAAAATGAAAATGTTTTCAGGTGCTTGAAACGTGCCATAAACGAGCATCATCTTCAGAAGGAGAATAAAATTTTCATTTGAACAATAAAAATACCAGGTAAAAGTGTTAAATTCATGCCTCTCGCGCTGCGAAATGCCTACTTGGCAGCCCCCTGAAGGGGACATGCATGACCGTGAGTGGGTTGGAGTGGAAAAATAACAAGTACTAAACGCACGTGAGGAAAAAGTCTTAAAATGCACGAGTTATTTGTGGCCAAAAGTACAACAGAGTGGAAAGAGTGGTCCTGGAGCTTATGGTTGTTTTGTGCATCGCGGCGCGAGCAGAAACAAGGGGTTGATTTATTGGTGCTTTCATGCTCCTGCCGACTGTTTGTAGATGGGAAACGGTGGGACGTATTGGGGGTGGAGAGAGTGTATAAAACATGGCAATTTTGCACCATTTTCCACGAGGTCTTCCTCCAGTCGAGCCACCGATTCTGCGGTCCGCCCTTACCCAGGAAAGAGATACCCTCACATGAGATGGGCCACACTGTGAGCTTTTTCCCTGGAACAACTCCACCAATCTGATGCAAAATTCACGGCTTCCGTAACTTCGCACAAATCACTCCCAGTCTCATAGTGTAGCGCAAATTCTCTTCGGTTCTCCTCGACAAAATATAAGTCATTAGTGGTGGAGATGGTGAGACCAAAACTTTCACCCTCCATCCACCGCACCGCAGAGATTCTTTGGTGAGGGCAAAAAGTTCATAACCTCTCGAAGGGAAAATATCTGCCGGAGTACTTGAGGAAGGTGAAACCGGATATTTTCCTCAAACATTTATCCCTCGATGTGCCATCAATTGAATACTGATTTTGTTCGGATTTTCCCTGAATTTTCCAATATCGTGCCATTTCTCCTTGCGACAGAGAAATAAAATAACTTCCTCTGTCGCATTGTTTCAAAATTGCTTCTCGCTGCACTTGAGCAAAGCAAGTATTAGCAAATATTTGAAATTTATTGAAAAGAGTTAATTAAAAATTCCTCTAAATTTCACTCTCTATAGTTTTCTATTAAAATGTTATTAAATAAAAATGATTCAAACATATAAAATATTTTTATCATAAACGACATTTTAAGTCTATAAATCGCTCTATTATATTAATGAATAAAATGTCCTCTTTTTGTCACCCCAGAAAGAAATCAATTTGATGAAGTGTTTTCGATTATTTCTGAATTCATTTTCACGATAACCTAATTAAAACGCCATCATATGCTTAATCTACTAGTCTTTTGTATCAGGCAGTCAAATGGCAAAACGTCCAAATAACGACCATAAAAACACATTAATTATAGGAATTTTCCCTCCCTCGCGATTATTATCAGCGCGAGGGCTGAGCAATAAAATTCACTCCTTTGCCAACTCTGCGCCACATTTAAATTTAATTGGAATGAGTTTTATAATTCTTCTGCAAAGTCACTTAAATTCTCGTTGTGCAGCACAAGAAGAAAATGTCTGGAGGGGTTAATAAAAGGCCCCAGCAACTTTTCGCAGATTCTTTTCTTCTTGTGCACTAAATTAAAAATGAAATATTACCACCTTTGGGCGAAAGAACTACACAGCGATAGAATTATGGGCGGCTGAAGTTTAGTCTGGGTGGTTAAACATTGGAGTTGGTGACTGAAAGTGGCACCAAATGGGATCTCACACTCCCAGTTTAATCATAACTCACTGTGCGCAAAATTCGCAGAAGCTTTTAAGACAGGCTCTCACTTTGTGTGGTTGAGCAGCGGATTTCGCCTTTGTTTAGCGCCTCAGCGACAAGAAGCGATGAAGTAGCAAACTTTAATATGTACTAAGTCAACATGAGCGCAAAGAGGCAAGTCACAATCCATGTGGGAAAAGGGAAACAATTGATTGGGTTAAGTCAGGAGTGGATTAAAAAGTATTGATACCACCAACAGCCAGAAATCTGCATATTTCGAAATGTTATAGTGCGATAATGTTTCCTGTCTGATCATAAAACAAGCAGCATAACGTCTGTGTTAGTGAAAATTGTGGCGTGATTTGGGAAATTTATGAGCAAACTATAATTAAAACTACCTCAAGCTTCTCTCACCTTCTTGGTGACAATACATCTGCTGCCACGATGATGTCATTTTAACCGCCAATTAATATAGTACTTTATAGATGAGACATGCATTTATGAGAGTGTTCAACTGATTTACGACTTTTTAATGAGCTCCGTGTATCACAGCTTTCGCACTAGTTGTTTCAATGATAAAGTAATTGTCGTTCATACAAGATATTTTGATGTTTGATATTTAGATCAGAAAAGCCAGGAGAAAACTATTTGTCTCTGTGAGGAATATTGTTTCGGAGCAGAGAAATGACAAAATGCGGAGAAATATCAACACTCACCGTCTCTGCCATCCATTCAGTCACTATGTTCGACACAAAATGAGAAGGGAAGAATTCGCAGATATTTGTCAAAGTTGCTATGAATTCCTCATTCACTCTGTCCTCGAATTTCGCAGCATCTCCCCTCTTGCGAGAGTGTCTTTCTTCACGAAATTGCTGGAAGCCTTAGGATAGAATTAATATTTGCGATGGATATTAGACGCGAGGAATATATTAAATTGAGGACACACGAAACAATTTATTTAGCACGTCCCCTAATTCGACAAAATATTGCGCCTACAAATTGAATTTCTGATTTCGATGTTAATAAATTGATAATATGATTGGCTCATTTGTTTGTTTGACAGAGAATCTGTTGTCTGGCATAGAGATTAGTCTGGAGCGTCGGCACGAAGAAAGTCCCACCCCCGCCGCCCCTCAGTCTTCGGCATTCCACTTTGACGTGATCTAATATCCCGGGCATGATTACAAATAATTGAATTTGATATTGGCAGTATTGTGCAAAATTATTGCACATTAATTAATCCCATTTCACTCAATTGGGGCGCCAAAATTCAATAAATTGCTGCAAAACAGAAGCGATTGCTGTGCGCGCCCTTCAATATTTCAATCTATTCATGTGATTTGTGTTCGAAGAATTTCCTGTTAATTGATGAATAAATGGGCTTTGATTGTTTTCAATTGTGCCAAAAAGGTTGGAGGATTTTCAGATATGTGTGTAAATACTCAAGCATCAAAAATTCATTTCCAAATTTTATTGTCGCACCAATGAAATATATGTATTCTGAAAGCAAACGACCGAGATTTTGAGCTTATGCCTTACATGACGATTTATAGGTGTTGTGCGAGGGTAGATTAAAATAGGTGATTCATTTTATATTCGTGTTTTAGAGAGGTGTTCAATGCGTATTTCGATATTTGGCACCATTTGTCACAGAAATGTTATCGAGGATATTTAGAGATTTATTCCAAATGTATAACAAATCGCGCACAATTTTGCTATCTAAATATTTTAATGTTCATTTACGAGAATGATTTTTCTTTGAATGCTGGGAAAATCTTCTTTCAGAATTTGTCAGGAAGCACTTTTAATCAAACTAACCTGATTGCGATGTTGGCATGGGTTTGGCTCTGGGAAATTAATTATGATATGGATTCAGACAACTCGGAAGCTCTCTTATTCTCTAAGCTGTTCACCCCTTGTTCCTCCGGCTGAGGTTCTAATCGGGAAATCCACATGAGCTCGGAAAGACTCGATTGCACACTGTATGCATAGCAGAAGGAAGAGCAGAAATGGTTGAAGGGCTCACAGTGTCTCCTGGAAAGTAAAATTCTATTGTATTCCGTGGTGTGTTGGGCGGAAAGTGTGTTATGGAATGCTACGTGCCACTTTGGCAAATGCTGGCACTCTTTTGGCGCACACACATTTCCCATTGTGCTCCGCCACACAATCACCTTCCTCTCGTGGTGGCAATATATTTTACTCTTCTAATATGCTCCAACCCTCCTTAAGACAAACACTATATGGTGGCACGTCCTCACGGATGGGGGAGGCCTTGTCTCGGGGGCAGAGTTGAAAAACGATGCCACATACAAAGTATCTAGAAACGATAAAGACACGAAAATAATTCTCGACAATGTGCAAAATTTATGTCAATTACGTTCTCCGCCAGAGATACTTTCGCATTTTCTTGCGAAATGCCAAAGGGAGACTCTCTTTTGCACCCCCATCTCGTACGCTTTTTAATTTTATATTTTTGCCAGATATTTATGACGATTTTACGCGTCGCGCTTGCCAGGGGTGAGAACTTGACTTGAGATACAAAACACACTCTTTAAGGATTCTGGAATGGGTCTTGCGAGAATTTGTCTGCGTGCTGGTGAAATTCCCCAGATTTCTCAAATTTCAGTATCACAGTCTCGTTGAGGCGGTTTTGGGATGTTTTGAAAGAAAGTAAGGGATAACTTGAGCAATACAGTCTAGGATTAGGGTCTTGGTTTTGAATTTATCAAGATTATTACTTCACCGCATTTTTCATACTCTCTATCGCCTTCTGGTATTTTTTCTGATTCTCTGATTCTTTTCATCTATTGCCAGAGGAGTTCTAAGAGCATTATTTGCTATAATTTCACCGTGAAATCTATTTTTATCTCTAATCTAGATCACAAATGTCATGGTGAACCCTTCGGCATGTGCGTAAGTACTCATTGATACTCTGTGTATGCAAAAATGCTGGAATATTATAAAGCACCCACTCAATTATTCGCCAGAACTTAGTAGCATTTGATTAACTCAGGTTTGATTAAGAGGGATGATCCCACGGATTCCGAAGGTTGGTTAATTAAAATCTCAACATAGAGGTACTCCTCCGCAGCCAATAAATATCCATTTCAGGTTTCATCAATTAACTCCCTCGCTTTATCTTCTACCTCCACAGGTCAAATTCAACTCGGTGGCGGCGGAAGACGCTCGCCTGGTCGGAAGAGCCCAGACAAAAGTGCTTAATGTATCTAGCGGATTCGCGTGAATGGATGATATACCGCAAAGGATGACAATGACGAATATTGGACTTTATACATCACAGAGACACTGGGAGGGAAGGTGAGGACAGCCTCTCGCACGAATCCGCACACGCAATAATGTGAGAAGTTTCCTTGTTTTAGCCACGATCCTCTGGACGTCCCGTGAGGTCTCGATCGCAATTTATCACGGAACGAGAGACGCTTATGTTCGCGCTGATATTTCCGGTATTGATGAGGAATGCGTGGTGGCGTGGCTGAGCCGAAACTTGATTGATGGCCCGGCAATAATTTTTGGTGTTGGGAAAGAAAGTTTGCGAGAAGCAATTTTTCTGCTCACTCGCGTGCGATTATTCCGTAACACACCGGAAATTATATATTCTGATGAGAATATGAATAAATTCTCTCTCAGATTTTTTTTCCTCATTCTCTCAGCATCCCATCGATTTTGTCCATTTCAAGGCTCTTGCTCCAAATGCTCTGGTGCGTATTTCCTGTCGGCGCAAATAGGCACGTCGTCATGGAAAGGAGAGTAATTGAGAGTATATGCGTGTCTCACGAGAGACAGAGAGAGAGGGAGCGTTAATAAGGAGCATCATATGGATTAATCATCATCTTACCGTCATCTAGATTTTCTTACATATATTGCCAAAATTGCTTCCGACAACACTTCAAAGGATGCGCCATTGGCGTGAAGGTAAATTTTATTTGCCTTCTCGAAGTCCTCAACATGGTATTAAGCAAATTATTAGCATTCACAATGAGGTGGTTTCCTCCTGGATAAATTTATGCAAATAAACATACATTCGCAGTCAACAGAGTACAGTGGCTGACATGCTTTCCGCAAAACCAACCGCCGCATTGCCTCTTACCATGCTCCATCGACTTTACAATGTGCTTTAATGTAAAATTCTATGCTATATCTCACTCTTCATCGAACCCCCGCGTGGGCGTCAAACTTCGATCACCTTTTATCTCCTGCCGGCATGCCTTCGATATATTTCACCGCTTTCACGAGCTTCCAATGTGCCTGGGTCGCATGCAGATACACAGAGGTTATTGGGTATTCTCAAAGGCATTTCGGATGCTAAGAGCAGTGAAAACTTTCAGATTCTGTGTATTGATTTGTTGCAGTATTTGTGAAATTAAAGTTGTATGCGATGATGTCGGAAACAATTTGTAATCCCTTAAAGGATTACCTTGATACCCAGTTTAAGGTGACTTTAGATGACAATGGAATGTATTTCAGTCGTTTTTGCGAGGTATTTTTTGCATTGGATGTTCCTGGAATTTTGTATTTTCTTCAGAGCGACAGTGAAGAATTGGTGAAGAGACTAAGCATTCATCAAAGAAGTCTTTAATCAAATTCTGCTACCTCGGCGTTAAATATAAACTTTTCTATTGAGTTAATTTGACTGTGCGAGAGAACTTAGGAGGAGACTTCAGGAATTTCAACCTCTTGTCGAGGTGATAATGAGAAGTTTCTTGCGAGTGAAAAGTGCAGGAATGCCGAGAATGTGAGAATGCAATGGAAAATTCATCCACTCATTTTCCATTGGAGTCCTCAACGCGAATATAAAGAGCGTTAACCACACAACCGTCATCTCCCAATTACCTCTATGCTCAACTCCACTTACTCTTCGGTGGCTGCTCAGGGGTGCTCTTGGTGGGTGCTTTGCCAACTGCCGAGAACGAGTCCCGCTTGGTGTGCAACTTGAGATGTTTTGTTTGCGATTTTCTCACCCGCATTTTCCAACCATTTACAAGTGCGAACACCGACGGCACAACTTTTTGCATTCGCCACAAAAACTCTTCCATATTCTCTCTGTTTTACAAACAACAACTTAATTTTATTATTTTACAATACATATTAATTACTTTAGCAATGTAGACTAGCGATGCTGTGGAATTTTCACAAATCGACTCTAATTCCAGGAACAATTCTTGGCCTAAGCGAAAAGCTCTCAGCGACTGTGGAATCCCAGAGGGGTGTAGACTTTGGAGAATTCAAATTAGAACCTTTCGTGGCAATATTCAAATACAGAATGAACAGAATAGACACATTTCTGCAAAAAGTATTCAAATTTCTAAGGAATTATGGTGCGGAATCTCGCTAAATCCCAAATGAAAATCGATTTTTCACTCATTCTTTCTTCCATCTGAAGGCACATTTTTCCCTATATACAACCAATCGTTCAGTGAGACCTTATATTTGTTGTTGTGGGATTGAAAGCTCAATTTGCACAAGCTCAATTTGCACAGCCCCAATTATCGTAATACTGTAGTCGGTTGTGATGGAATTTCCTCATAATTTTCACGCGATATCGCCTCAGCTTCGAGATCTAAGAGAGTGGCTATTTAAAATCACATTCAATTACCTAGAAAAAACATCTACAGAAATATCCAGTGAGGCATAAATTGTGAAAAAAAGCCAAGCAATGAACTGAAGATTAAGCTAACATTGAAATACAACAAACTAAATGTTATTTCGGTAATTTCATATTAACAAAAACTCAAATGCAAGAACTCAATCTGTCTAAAACAAACAAAAACCACATATTTACTTTCATTATTCTACATTTATATCTACAGCCTGTATTTCTCCTTATCTGTGGTTTCTTTTCACTGGCTCTCCTTTTCTCTTTCAACCACCTCGAGAGTAACATATTTCCCTTGGACTCATAACTAAACCTCACGGGTAATTTATTCAATTCACGATTCAGAATTTTTCGTGATATGAATTTTTTGGTGTGGAGATTGCATGAAAAATTCTGTTATCGTTGTTTTTCCTGCTGAAAACTGTGTGCGTGGGTCTTCAGCGAAGAGGCGAAAGGTGTCAAATCAGCGGGTGTGAAATCTCTTCATTTGCTGGAAAATTGTGCCTTTTGTAATTAGATGGGAAATATTGGGGTAAAAATTTGCCCATAAATATTTCATTTTGTGCGAGAATTTCACCGAAAGCTCCTCTTTTGGGTGTTTTCTCTTTGAGCGCCAAAAAGTCATCTCCTCCACCTATCGCACAGCGCCGCCACTGCGCATGAGCGGACACCGGCACTACGTCTGACAGTTCGGTGTTTTGTTTATGTTTACGTGTGGCATTTTCTCTGGCGATAAAACGCAGGAAAACCAGGAAATTCCGCTGTTTTTGAAGTTCTAGTGCAGTGATTTGTGAGCATGGTGGCTGCTAATTCGGAGACTCTAGCAGATGTGGTGTTCCTCATTGAGGGCACGGCGATAAATGGAGCGTACATCAACGACATCAAGTCCAACTACATCATTCCGACTTTGGAGTACTTTTCTCAGGTATTTGGCTGCATTTCACGCTTAGTAGAGTGTTTAGTGACCCTCTCGGTAGTCCTTCTCTTCGCAGTGGATTGGAGATGACCGGGAGTACTGGACGGGACTGGACAGAAATAGTACTTTGTACGGAATTGTCGTCTATAAAACTGCCCAAAGTATGCCGGGAGTTTGCTGCACAACTTACGGACCCTTTGCCAGTGCCAAGAAGGTCCTCAGTACCATTGAAAAGCTGGAGTAAGTCCCATGACTTTCAAATTTTAGCAATTTACTCTGACGCACTTACTTTTGCAGGTTATCCGGTGGCAAGAGTGAATCGTATGCGAATCTGGCTGAAGGAATGGCTACGACTCTCGTCTGCTTCGATGACTTGGAGGAGCGCAGGGATCAGGGAACAGTGACACAGAAGCACTGCATTCTCATCTGCAACAGCGTCCCGTACTCAATGCCTGTTCAAGAGTGTTACATGCACGAGAACAAGACCGTGGATCAGCTCGCTTCGACTTTCCAGGAGAAGGACATTAACTTCTCCATTCTCTCTCCGCGCAAAATTCCTGTGCTGTTCAAGCTCTTTGAGAAATCGGGCGGAGACTTGTCCTCCTCCACGTCCAAGAACTACTGCAAGGATCCTCGGCATTTGGTACTCCTCAAGGGATATTCGCTCAAAGAACGCCCCGCCAGTCCTCCGGCGACCACCACAATCAATCTCCCGAGTCCTCTGGCCTCCAACATGATGCCCATGAACAATCAGATGGAGTCCGGAGGGAATCAAATGCTCGCCGGGCCAAATATCACTCAAGCTGGTCCAATGCGAACCAACATGAACAATCCTGGAAGTGAGTGTTTCTTTCATTTCACTCTTTTCTTCGTCTCTATCACATTTTCGCTATTGCAGTGTTCTCAGACAACATGCAAAATCCAATGGGCAATCCGAATATTCCGAGGCCGGGTCTCATGTATCCTGGACAGGGACCGAATCCGCAGATGAACCCTCAAGTGTCTATCGCACCGCCAAATCAACCCACCAGCGTGTCAATGGGCTACAATCCAGTTCAGCAGCAGCAACAGATGAACCCAAGACATCCCAACACCAGATGGATGATGCCGCCACAGCAGCAGCGACCCTTTCTCGCCAACCCCGGACAGAATCCGCAGCAGCAGCAGCAAATGCCGAATCAGCAACAGCAACAATCTGCTCTCATTACTCAACTCAGCACGCCACCGCACAGCATGGCATCGCAAGGCGTCGGCCAAATGGGCAACATGACTCAACAGCAAGCCCAGCAGCAAGCCATCCGGATGCAGATGATGAACCAGCAGCAACAGCAGCAACAACAACAGCAGCAGCAACAACAGCAGCAGCAGCAGCAACAGCAAAACACTCAGCAAATGCAGCCTCAAAATCAAGGACCGCAGCAGGTTAATCAGCAGCAAATGCCACAGACCATTCCAACTTCAGGTATGGTTTATTTGTTGGTTGTTTTATTCAGAAAAATCCGGCTTAATCCCATTGATCATTGACAGAATAATTCATGCTCATGCATTGCGAATAAGGCGAAAGCCGCGTGTGTGAATATTTCATTCTATTTGCAATTGAATGAAAAAAAAGTCCTGTTAAATATTATATGAACAATTTTGTTGCGAAGTAGTTGAAAAGGTATAATTTTGTTCGGTGGAAACTCGTTAAAACATATATGTAAATGCATTGATAACATGTTTCCAGTTCTCTCCATTATTTTGCAAAAGTGATTGTAAATATTTTCAGTCCTTTCTACGAATTCGCTTGCAAAATTGCTACCCCAAATGTTTTGTGAGACCTTTTTTTGTTTGTATGCATGCGAGGAATAGAGTTTCATTCAAAAAAAAAAACTTTTGCAGGAAATATTGAATATCCCTGAGTTTAATGGTGGTTGTGTCAATCACAAAATGCTATTAAAATGCAAATTACCTTCTGAATGTTGATTTACCACTGAGATAAATGATGTATGAACTTTTTATCGCCAATTAATTATTTGTTGCTCAACAAAGAGTTTAGTGGTGATATCATAGTGTTCATATTTTTCCTATAATTGGAACTGTATGATTTTTCGGAGCAATTTCACATGATGAAAGCACTTCTCTGTGCACATTAAATGCATCAGAGCTGTAGAAGCTTAATATAATTTATGTCATAATTTGTGAGCATGACTAAAATACGTTGGAAATATTTGGTGTACATATAATTTTTGCATGTCAAGCAGCACAGCAACACATGCCGCCCACGAGTGGCGTTCCCACGACTGCCACTGGTGCGGCTGGTGGTGGCCAGACCAGCTCCAACTCGAGGGAGAAAATCTGGACGGGCATCTTGGAGTGGATTGAGAAGGCCAAGAGTGATCAGCCGAAAATTGCACGCCACGTCCCGTGCTATGTCACAACTAATATCAAAGATGGTGAACCTGAACTGTACGTTTTCCATTTTCCACGTTCAATGTGATGCACCATGTGAATGCTAATTTTGCGATATTTTCGGTGTGCCTGCGCGTTTGCCAAACAGGAAGGCGGATAGTTGGCCACAGAAGCTCATTATGCAACTCATGCCCAAGCAACTTGTGGGGAATATCGGCGGCCAGTACCTCAAGGATTCCAAAACCGTGATCTTCCATCCCAGCCAGTGCGAGGCTCTGGATGCTCTGTCGAAAGTCATGGCGACGGGCTTTGTAAGTTTCTCTCACAGCGCAATAAATTTAATTAACTGACAAAGATAATGTTGTCTATACAATTAATTATGCTGAAAACATATAAGTCTGTCTGAAAACTAATCAATTGATGCTTGTGCTGTGAGAACAGGTGCAGTGAATTCATCCCCCCCTTGTTGGCTGTTTTTCAGGCAGGATGTGTACACTTTACGGCCTCACCACCGACAAACTGTGAGATAAAAGTGCTAATTCTCCTGTACACGGCAGAGAAGAAGGCCTTCATTGGCTTCATACCAAACAATCAAATAGGGTTTGTGGAGAGACTACGGAAAGTGATCCAACAGAAACAAGGCTTGGTGCGTCATGGACAGGTTTGCTTTCGTGTAAAATTAATCCATGCTCCCTTTCTGTCGAACATATCCCATACTAACAAGCGAAATACTATAACGAACAATCATGTAGATTTATTGTTTCCCAAATTGCCCTCCCCCCCCCATCTCCTGGCCTCCTCCCAATCCCTGTGCATTGGATTATGTGTTTGGTATTTATAGTATACTTAATACCCAATGAACCTTAAATAGTTCCACGAAATTTGCCGAGCATGCAATCATACTAATTTACAAAGTGCACATGAAAGGGTAGTTTCAGCATGACATCAATTTTACGTGTTAAATTTCACGTTGGTAGGAAATGCGCGCTTTACAAGTGCTATAGCCGCTCTCTACTTGTAGAACCAACAGTCTGCTGGGCAGCAGGGCGGTGCTGGTGGAAATCCGGGCACAGCCGGAAATGCAGGTGCGGGTGCTCAGGGCCCGGGTGGCCCAAGTGGTGCAGGTCAACCAAATACGATGAATCCTGCAACCAATATGCCAACGTCACAACCGACCAATTCACAGGTTTGCGATGCTTTTGCCAAACACACACACTCTTTCTCAGTCCTATAAAGTGAACAATCTGCTGACAATGTCCTAAAGTGAGACCGATAAATGCACCTGCAAGTGAAGCACATCTCACCCCTAATGGAATGTGATGGTGGGCGGTGGAGAGCAAGCTGTGCAATGTGCCGATTTTGAGAATCGATTGAAAAACACACTGCAGGAGTCTTTCAAGGGCACACACTATAAATCATCGTGATTGAAAATGATGTCAAAGTGGCTTTCAGCAGAAGTGGAACCAATTTTAAGCGCCAAACGTGAAGTGATTGAGTAGTGAAATGCATTTAGAAAAGCTCGTCCTATTTTTTTCTCTATACAAAAAAATATATTTCACTTTGACTAATTTAAAATGAACGGTTTAATGCAAATGGAAAGAAGTAAAAATATTTTTTATCTATTTGATCTCTTCCTGATTTCATGCAAATTAAAAATTTTTATCAATATATTTGGGATTGCAGAGAAAGCCTATTCAGAATTTGATCAATCTGCTTAAACTCATGGGATTTTGCTATAAAATCCTTTTTAATGAATAGCGCACTATAAATTTATTTATATACGTTTTAGAGCAATTATATTTATATGCCATTCGTTCTTTGATTATTCATTTGGGGTATATGCAATAATGCCTTAATTCGCCATCCACAAGCTGATGTGGAGCAGAATTTCGGAAACTACGCCCTCGAGGGTCGTTGAGATTAATAAGTAAAATTACAGCGTCGGTTGTATATTATGTATTAGATGAAACCTCGATGGTGTGCATAATTGCTAAGTAGTATGAAATAGTGCGTATTAGCATAATTTATATGGGAAAATGTTACTCATTGAGCGAATTGTCGAGTTGAATTATAAATTTTCAGATGATGCCGCAAATGGGACAAACGTCTACGGCTCAAATGGGTCAGCAGCAGGCAGTTAATCAGGCGGCACGCATGGGAATGGTGGTATGTGCAGATTATGCCATTGATCTCTCGATCTCGCCAAATACCCAGAATATTGATTGCGTTCGTTTGACTGATCACAGAATATGCCGAATGTGGGAAATCCCAATCAGATGGCGGGGATGCACAATGTTAATCCGGGTGGACAGCATATGGACAATCGTCAGCAGAATATGGAGAAGATGTCGCACGTGAGTATCATTGGAAGACGGTGGGCGGAAGTAGCTGTGGGGATGTTCCTTCGTGATGAGCGCGTTGAATGTTTCAGCTGAAGCAGTCCCTGGAGGCGGTTGTGCAGCAGGATCAGCAGCAGCAATTCAAGAATTTCGAATTTGGCCAGATGCCAATGCATCAGATGTCGACAGATAATATGCACGCCGCTCAGGTGGCACAGCAGCAGAAGCAGGAGCAGTACAAGATGGCACTGCTTCAGCAGCAGCAACAGCAGCAGCAGCAAATGCGCGGAGTCGGAAATTTGGGCAATCCGCAGCAGCAAAATCCACAGCAGCGAATGATGCGTCCCGTGATGGCGAGCAATCCCGGTTTGCGTCACCTTCTCCAGCAACAGGTGAGATTCACACGAATGTGGTCAATCCATCCATATTGGTTCGCTGTGATTGAACCAGCGAACGATTTTGGTCCAGAGTTGCCTAATCTCCCTAAGCTAGATGCCATTAATCAAAGAAATGCATTAATTTTTGGTCTCATTTATCAGATATTTCAAGTGATTTTTGCGTCGAGCAGTAAAAAGGCTCAGATTAATGTTTTTTTTTCAGTTTGTCAGAGTATTCAAATCTAATATCTAAAGTTCATAGTCTTCAACTCTCGCTGTGCATGACGCAGGAATCGTAACTCCTATCAATTCTGGGGGAATTGGGAGCAATTGAAATTTTGTCACGTGCTCACCTTTGATTTTGGTGCTTCATTAGTGGAAAGTGCAAAATGCTAATAACGTCAGAATCGAATCTCATCTGAATTTGCAGCAGCAGCAGCCGCAGAATCCGCCGTATCGTCAGGTGATGGGAATGCAAGGTGGCAATCCGGGCGGACCGCAAATGGGTGTGCGACCACAGCAGGGTGGCAATCCGCAGCCTCAGCAGCCCTTCGAGGACTCTAATTTCGACTTTATCTAATTTGCTCATTAGGATTCCACGCACATTGTCGCCAAGGGTAAGTCTTGTGTGTGTCCGTCGTATCTCTTTTCAATCAACAAACAATGTGGATTTTAAATTGTGTCTCCTGTGGACAGAGGACTGCTGGCAAATCACTTTGCTGGAGGCGTTTCCCGCCCGTCCGGAAGAGCAGACAGAGAGAGAGAGAGAGTCAATTGGTGGAATTTTGCAAAGTGGTGTAATTGTATTGTACCTTTTTGTGTATGTATGAATTGCACAATTTATGTTAATCCGTCAATAATTTTCTGCATAAATTGCATTAATATTATCAATTATTACCAACACGGAGAGAAAGAGGATGTTTTTGACTGCAATTTGAATATCCGGTCACATAACATTATTTAATTCCAATTCACTGTGACTGGTGAGCACGTGTATTGGATTACGGCGATGTGCAGAAATTGGACACATTTATTGGTGTAATGATTTTGAAAATTTGTGTGTGTGTGGGGGTGATTTGTCGAATTGAGAAATAATTATTATTTCAGCTGTATATCGTTCTGCATAGAGTAAATTTTGGCATTTCCTGTTGTATCTGAAATTATCTGTGTTGTAATTTATGCAGGTGCCTGAATATTTATTTATAGGGCGGTCCAGAGTGTGGAAATATCAAATGTCAGCTTATTTCCCACCACATATATTCCGCACAACTTATCAGTATAGCGTTTCTCAAACATTTGCCCTTTTCTAATTGTGTCTTTTTAAGCTTAATTTTCTTCATTCTAATTTTGCCAAAGGAATTGTTTCTGAATGAATACCTCAAATTACTGTCTGAATCATCTCCGCTTTGCTTTAAAGCATTTCTACAGGCTTCAGTCGTTTATTGAAAGCCCTTTTTTTGCATTGTCCAGAGTGATTTATTATGGGTAAATCCTGCAAATTTTCACAATAACCAATGGACTGAATCCAATACCTACATAAATGATTGATTGCCAACAGTTTAGATTAGTTGAAAATGTATCGCTGGACCATTATCGGGAAATTTGTTGCGATAAATAACGAATATTTCATTTTCAGACTGGCGCGACAATTTCATGTGGGAAGATTGGTGTAGTGAGATAAGGTGTGTCTGTAAATTGCAAACTGCCGTCAGTGCTGTGCTAAAGTTCTGCGCATAAGTTGGGGTGATTCATTTTGGGGTGGATGCAATTCGTGTATTGGAGTTTAATTCAATTGTACTTCATTTCACAGCAGCAATTAAGTAATTTGTGGACACACTGTAAATTCGCTAAGTAAATAACTCATTTTAATCTGGATAGTTTGGTAATTGAAATGATTATGACGAGTTGATTTTTGCAGTTCAACATTAAAAGTTAATAAATAATAAGATAGTTAATGAAAATGTCGAGGATAACTTTACTTTGCTTAATTTTCTGTGGATTTTATTCATGTATTTGCTAATAGATTTGTTAAATTTTTTTTCACGGCATGCAAAGAGCACACAATCAAGTATAATTAATTGGGGGTGAAAATATGAGAAAGAACAATTTTTGAATGAGAATAAAGCAAATAATTGAATAGGGGAAATGTTTTATCAATTATATAAAATGATTGTGTTTTTTTTTATCAATTTCTCTCTCATTTCACTAATTTCAACAGAAGCGATGTGAATCTCAATTTATGATTTTAAAGTTGTGAATTGTGTGGAGGAAGTTAAGGTTGGAAAAAGATTTACTCTACAAAATGTACCAGAGAGAGTAAGATATGTGAATACTTGTAAGTAAATCCCCGTAGCAGATTTTGATAGTCAGGAGAAATTTGCGAAAAGCTTCAGTTGATATTGTTCAGCGAAAAAGTTGAAATCATCATTGTCGGGATTGAGTGCAAAAGAACAGCACTTTGCAGTGATTTTCTCTTTCAAGAATTCCACGTGCCTTTCTTATTCTCAAAGATTGCATTTTCTGCAGCGTCTGCATAGCTTTGGCATGAGATGAGTGAACAATATACAGAGAAAGTGCTCCATATACAGTTACTCTAAATTAAATAGAGCCACCCAAGGCCCTGAGACATATCGGTGTGCCGCGAATTTTCACGTGAAGCTAGAGATCTGAAATTTTCTACCAATCTTCCCTCATTAATGAGTAATTATCATGCCAAGTTAGAAAACATTCGGCCTAATACTTGATCCGTTCGTGACACTAAAACCGAACCTATGCATAAACGGCTCTCCAAATTAAATAGAGCCACCTGAGTAACATTAGAATTTTTTGCCACTTAAGTATGTTTTCTGTTCTTAATATGGTTTAAATTTATCCGGGGTGTCTTCAGGATAATTGTCCTTTCGATTTTCATTTATTATCTCGACTTTGGAACTGTTTGATATAAAAATTTGATTAAGTGAATATCAAGTTATGGGGCGCATACAGCCCATGACTCTGGAGGCTCATACGGAGGTTTTTCGGCTGCGCAACAAAGGACATTTAATAAGGGGAATAACTAGAAGGACCTCTTATTCCAGAAAGAGAGTTTGGAGCGAAATTGACCGCGAAAAAACTTTGATTTCGCGGAAAAAGTGTCGCGGATAAGATCGCGAAAAACTTTTTCGACGAATTGTTCAGTTGTTTTAGGCGAATTCCATCATGTCTGCTTCTAAGATCCATTAGAAATAGTTTCCTAACGTTCCTCCAATCCTATTAATACCATAAAGAACAGATTTTATGAGTCTAGGACTGAAATCAAGAGCGACAAAGAAGAAATACATTGATTTTGAAACACAACCTTTTCAACTAATTCGCGTTCTCTATGATATACGAATCTCGGGCATCAGGAAAATGGCAAAAGGTCCTGTATTTTGATGGACCGAAGTTCACCTGTCATGGATCTGATGATAAGAGATTCATTTGACACCTCAAAAGCCAATAACTCAGCTTACAATACACCATATCAACATTAAATCATAGCAGAGGAAATACAACGTTTTGTTCCTCGCTCTTGATTTCAGTCCTAGACTCATAAAATCTGTTCTTTATGGTATTAATAGGATTGGAGGAACGTTAGGAAACTATTTCTAATGGATCTTAGAAGCAGACATGATGGAATTCGCCTAAAACAACTGAACAATTCGTCGAAAAAGTTTTTCGCGATCTTATCCGCGACACTTTTTCCGCGAAATCAAAGTTTTTTCGCGGTCAATTTCGCTCCAAACTCTCTTTCTGGAATAAGAGGTCCTTCTAGTTATTCCCCTTATTAAATGTCCTTTGTTGCGCAGCCGAAAAACCTCCGTATGAGCCTCCAGAGTCATGGGCTGTATGCGCCCCATAACTTGATATTCACTTAATCAAATTTTTATATCAAACAGTTCCAAAGTCGAGATAATAAATGAAAATCGAAAGGACAATTATCCTGAAGACACCCCGGATAAATTTAAACCATATTAAGAACAGAAAACATACTTAAGTGGCAAAAAATTCTAATGTTACTCAGGTGGCTCTATTTAATTTGGAGAGCCGTTTATGCATAGGTTCGGTTTTAGTGTCACGAACGGATCAAGTATTAGGCCGAATGTTTTCTAACTTGGCATGATAATTACTCATTAATGAGGGAAGATTGGTAGAAAATTTCAGATCTCTAGCTTCACGTGAAAATTCGCGGCACACCGATATGTATCAGGGCCTTGGGTGGCTCTACTTAATTTGGAGTAACTGTACATGCATTTGCAAGTGGATTTGCTCACTTGAATAGCAATGAGCGTGCATATAATGCTGAGAGATAAAATGTCACAGAAGAATTAATGCAATATGTTTCTCCGTTTTTGTCTCATTGCATTGATTTGACACAGAGCACAAATTTTGTGTGATTTCATCAATATCAACAAGCAGTTTTAGTCGAGTTTTCTGCCAAGTATTTTGTGACTTTTTAATTTCGATTTCTTAGACAGCATTTAACCTTTGTTTATAATAACTTTCTTGCAAGTCATGCACATAAAGAGGCTTCTTTACCTGTGAGAAGCTTTAAGAATGTTTGCAAAACAAATCTGTGAAGTTTTTCTGCCACCGAGGAAACTTTTCCACATTGAATCTTCCCTGAAGCTTCTCTTCATGGATGGATTTGGACATCAACCCGTCTATCACTATCTTCACCTTCTTTATTCACCATCACGAGCGTCACAGATCAAGATGAATTGGATTATGGAGTAAAGAATTACCTTTCTCAGAGATATTTGCAAAATGCATCGAATTAACACGAATCACGCGTGTTATGCACTTGTAGAGGAAAATAAAATAGTCACACTGATGTGAGAAATGATAGGAAATTCCTTCGAGCTCGTCCAGTGAAAGTTTAAAACTAACTACAGTACATGGAAAAGTGGTTGAGACTAAGTATACGATTGGCGCGTGGTTCGTGGCAAAAGATAAAGATAGTGAGGGAGCAACAAATAGCCGAGCAATTTTCCTTTAATAATGGATAATTACCTTGTGTTGCAGTGTAGAACGTGCAATGATGTTGAAAGGAGAAAAAGCATAAATTTTCCACTATAATTCGCATTTGAAATTATTTCACACTATATTTGCTAAATGGCACAAAGTATTATACATTATTTAAATAAGCTTCCTGTGCGAAATGTACAATTTATGATCCTCGTTGGCGCTTCGATACACACATTTTCCATCCATATATGTAATTACATTTACTGCAACAAATTTGCTCGGTTCAACCTCACTTACACGTCTACACGCCATTCTGCAGCACCTCCTTGTGGGTGGCCCAGGAGTGGCTTTGGAATTGTATAGCAGCTCATGAGAATTGGATTTCACTACCGCGAGTCGGACAAAATGCACGGACATACATTGTTGGAAATTAATTTAAATGAACTAACCAGGTGGTTAAAGTGTACATATTTCACAACTTCATTTCTATACATCTTTTATTGTCCCTCAGAGTAAAGAATAGTTAAACGAGAAAATGACACACGAATTTACTATATACAGTGCAGAGATTTTAAATAGCGCCCCCCATGGCTCTGAGACATATCGGTGTGTCGCGAATTTTCACGTGAAGCTAGAAGTCTGAAATTTTCCACCAATATTCCTTCATTAATAAGTAATGACCATGCCAAGTTTGAAGACAATCGGCCTAATCCTTAATCCCTTTATGATATCAAAACCGAGCCCAAGCAGAAAAGCACTCGAGATTTTAAATAGCGCCGTCTCAGCAATCTTTGATTATTGGTCCGGCACATTTATTTTGGGTTCTTAAAGTGGTTCAAATCAATCTGAGGTGTCTTCAGGATAATTATCCTGTACATTTTTAATTTTTATCTGGACTTTATACGTGTTCGATATCAAATTTTGATTAAGTGAAAATCAAATTATAGGGTGTGAACAATAAACGACTCCAAAGGATCGTACGGAGATTTTTCGACTGCGCAAGAAAGAACATTTAATCAGGGAGATAACCGGAAGGACCTCTTATCCTAGAAAAAGCATTTAGAGTACAATTGACCGCGTAAAAAGGTCGATTTCGTGGAAAAAAATGTCGCGGATTGGACCGCGAATAACTTTTTAAGCCAATTGTTCAGCATTTTTTGGTGAATTCTGTCATGTCTGCTTCTAAGTTCCATTAGGAATTGTTTTCCAAGATCCCTCCAATTCTTTTAATACCGCGAAGAACAAATTTCATGAGTCTGGGACTAAAAGCAAGAGTGATAAAGATGAAACCTATTGATTTTCAAAACCAACCGTTTCCAGCAATTCGCGTTCTATAGGAAATACGAATCTCGGGCATCAGAAAAATGGCAAAACGTTCTCTATTTTGATGAACCGAAGTTCACCCGTCATGGGTCTGATGATAAGTGATTTGTTTGACGCCCCAAAGCCAAGAACTCAGCCCCAAGTGCACTACAACAACATTTAAGCAAGGCGGGGGTAGTATAATACTTCGGGCATTGTTGTTCCACGCTCTTGCTTTTAGTCCCAGACTCATGAAATTTGTTCTTCGCGGTATTAAAAGAATTGGAGGGATCTTGGAAAACAATTCCTAATGGAACTTAGAAGCAGACATGACAGAATTCACCAAAAAATGCTGAACAATTGGCTTAAAAAGTTATTCGCGGTCCAATCCGCGACATTTTTTTCCACGAAATCGACCTTTTTACGCGGTCAATTGTACTCTAAATGCTTTTTCTAGGATAAGAGGTCCTTCCGGTTATCTCCCTGATTAAATGTTCTTTCTTGCGCAGTCGAAAAATCTCCGTACGATCCTTTGGAGTCGTTTATTGTTCACACCCTATAATTTGATTTTCACTTAATCAAAATTTGATATCGAACACGTATAAAGTCCAGATAAAAATTAAAAATGTACAGGATAATTATCCTGAAGACACCTCAGATTGATTTGAACCACTTTAAGAACCCAAAATAAATGTGCCGGACCAATAATCAAAGATTGCTGAGACGGCGCTATTTAAAATCTCGAGTGCTTTTCTGCTTGGGCTCGGTTTTGATATCATAAAGGGATTAAGGATTAGGCCGATTGTCTTCAAACTTGGCATGGTCATTACTTATTAATGAAGGAATATTGG